AGACTAATAGTGTTATAGTACATGGAATGAAGTATGTCACATACAATTGCTATAACTCGCGTTAGTAATCGAACTTAATAAATATTATTATACTTATTAAACTTGTGACTTGTTTTAAGATTTATGGTCATGTATAAAATACTTTTTAAAACTTTTAGAACACAATAAGAAAAATTATTTTTAAATAAAATTTTATTTTAATTATTTTAATTTTAATTTTTTTATATTTTATCAATTAATAGGCTAGGTAAAAGAATGTTAGATTATGTAGTCCTATTTAATTGGATAATATATATTATAATTTTTATTAAATTCTGATTATGATTATCAACTAATAGAAAGGAAGTCCACTTATAGTCGAATTCCTTAGAAGATGATCTTAATAAGAGAAACTCTTCTAATCACTTATCTTAAACCCTTTGCTCTTACTTATAAATAGATAAAGTCTCATGGAGAGTATGATACGATCAAGATTATTGATCTATTTTTATTTTATTTTAGTCTCTATTCTATAGTTTATAGTAATCCTAAAGGATAGGAAGAAGATGAATCTAATACTCTTTTGCATATCACTATTGCTGCATTCTAAGAATGAAACTACAAAACATATTTTAATAATTAAATAAAGATATTCCGAATGATGTCAAAAGATATATACGTCCTAATATATATATATATTGTTATTTAATTTTAAATTTTAACACTAAATTTATTTCATATAATAATATGATTCTAATTTTATGCTTACACTTTCATCATCATGTCTCTCTTTTTCTGAGAGAAAAAAAAAATACAAGAGTCAAATACTGTAACATTGTTGAGATACAACGCAACTGCTTTCTCATACTGTAACAAGCCATCTTCGTTGGACCTGATTGATGAAGCTTGAATAATGGGAGATATACTACCGATGCTTCTCACAAGTTCTAAGCAGACAGTGAAAAAACACGAGTGTTAACAGCATCACCATGTTTCCGTATCTGTACTTTGCCATAAATTATCAAGCTATCGGTGTCACTGCTGACACATGATCCAGCTTTTACCAATCTCCATTTGGTCGAACAGGTTGATCGCGTTAAAAGTTTGAAGGTTGCTATGTGAATATCGTGCAACAACAAACGATTCTAACAATTATTTAGGTGACTGCTTAGAGTAGATTGATCATCTCATATCTATATATTTCCATTTGTTCGTCTAGTTGTACTGCTCGGAGACAAAGCTTTGAGTTATGCATGTCATATTAGATGGGATTCCACATGTAACTCTCAGGTCATGTCATCCACTGCTTTGTCTTTTCATTCAAAGTTAATGGTTTGTACATTCAATGAGTGGTACGTGCAATCACAAGCCTCATGGACTCCTGATCTTAACTTAGCTCTTAGTACTTAGTTTTTTGTCCATTGCTGACATAGAAGGACATGCTTTCCTCAGAACTAAAAGAAAAGGAAAAAGAGGACATGCTACTCCTCTTCCATAATGATACAATGCTCCCCTACTAACTTATCTATGGGAACTTAGCGTTTGTTGTAATCCTAAGGGAAGCCAACGATTTACTGCAGCTTCTTTTCTCTCAGGACAAAAGCCTTTCGTCTTCCAAGATCTGACATCTCCTCATTGTAAGAATTGTTGTATCTCATCTTGTTTGCTAGTGCTACAAGCTGAGCTAACTAAACTCCTAATCCCTTGTTAGGAAAAGAAATCACCACACTTGAGACAAAAATAATAATAGATTCTTCCGTGAACCGAGCTGTATCAGCTTGGCATGCAAATTATGCGTCGTAAACATGGCAGACAGAGACAATAATCGAATCGATGTGCTCCATATCACACGGTGAGACAGCTAAACTCTTGTATCGGTGGCGCTTCTTGTTCCCATGTGCTGGCTGACTCCTCCCCGAGTTGGCAGTGACCGTGAGAGGTTGGCAAACCATTTACTCTTGCGTGTCAGGCAAACCATTCGACGAAATGTGTCTCCAAAGTTCTTCATTTAGATACCCTTTTTGCTCCTCTCCTTTGACTCATTTGATCAAAATTTGTCTCAGGTGAAGAGCTACGATGAATCTATTTATTCCAATATGCATGATTTCTTTACATATATGATTCATTTCCCAACCAATTACTGTAAATATTTACAAGTACTTCTCTACTTGTTTGCAGTCTCACCTCGCCTCCACCATCGCGGGTTGCATGGAGAAGACGCTCCGAGGCCAGAATAAAGGAACGGCAGCGAAGCATAGATGTCGTGACTTAAGTCGTGGCGTCGTTGCATGTGCGTCGACGGCGTACTTGCGGCATGGACGGGTACAAAAGCTGGTGTCCGTTGTTGCTTTTTTAATACCCGGCGCAAGTATCGGTGGGACTCGCCGAGAGCGGTGAGTGCCATTGAGGCAGGCCCCACCGAACAAGTCCTCGTGGATCAGCCAACCCGTACCCGCTCAGTTCCCCAGAAAGAGACCCCTCAACTTTTTCTCCCTAGTTTTCTCTATGATTCCCCAGAAAGAGACATACACATCACACCGACAGCAGCGAGTGCATAGAGACAGCCGCGGAACGTATCAGTGAAGGAAGAGGGTGACAATGACAAGCCATTTGTTTAGTCCTCGTGTTTTGGTTCTTAACATGCATCGCTAATGTAAATATATACATATATACATTAATTGGAGAATTGAGAGGGATGGATGTTGACTTTTTGCCCATCCATTGACGAGTTATACTGCTTTGGACTTGTTTCACCTTGACATCCAAATAATGTGGGCTACACATGAGCTAATGCGAGCTCAGTGAAGACAGATGATAATAGTTTTGAATGAAATCATAGGTTTTTAATTCGTCAAACTTTTGGACAAAGTTATCCTGTCTTGGTTCAGTAACGAGAAACACTATAATTCACCCTTTCTTAGTAACGAACAAATATAAAAGTTATAACTCTTTAAAAAGATATAGACAAAGTTCAAATTAAGTAAAAGAGAAAAAAAAATATTATGACTTGGTTTAGTTACTGAATTAAAGTACTGTAATTCTATAAAAAATATTATATAAAATTTGAAAGTATAATTAAGAATAGCAATAGTATGGTGTTGTCCAATTTCTATGTACATTAACCCTAACCATTTTTTGATTCACTTTGCAGCACAACATGTGTGATGATGGCCCACAAATTGATGAAGCTACATTAAAATAACAGTGGCGACTTGGACATAGGGCTACCAAACTTTCTACCACTTCTATTAATAACATTTAGCCATAATTTTTTCGTCTCCAAGTGGTGCTATCATATTTGATCTAATTGATATAGTTTCACACGTGTGGCATCACCCATAGAACCGCTCGTCCATTACCTTGGCGTTGACCTTATTATACGCAAACGTATGCTTCTTGCACTTCTCTCTCTACAATGAATGCAACGATGTTGACTACTCCCGCAGTACTCGATTCAGGATTAAACAACATCGGGGAGGGTTATTAGCTGATTCAGCATCAAATTATTTTGGTTTAAATAATATAATTTCAAACGATATATTATCGATCGTGTCCCAAACACTAGAAATCAACAGAAAAATAATAATTGATTCTGCCAACAATGAGCTGTTGAGACACATGTATGTATGGTATGATGTCTTGTATCCCTATCTCGTTCTCCGTATAACCATCAACCCCTATCGAATCACACTTCACGTCTCATATGCGTTTCTTGTCGCGTAAACCACCATGGGACAAGTCGATGCTAGAGAGAGAGAGAGATTTATTTACCGGCCCTGAGTTCGTATGGTGCATTGATGAACAACGGGTGGCCCGTGAACAGTGTGCAGCCTTGTAAACAAATAGTTTGACCTAAAGCTTCAAATCCCAATTAATGCCGATCTTTGACCGATAGATGTGCAGATGCACTCGCATCAATTCTTGAAGACGAAGAAAACTACAACTTTCGGCATCCAATGTTGGGCCATGTCGTGCTCCACGCTTTACGAGTAGGTCAAAATTATAAACAATATTTCATTGCGGTCAAACCAAATCACCTGCTCGTATTGTTTAACACCTCATTTTGTACCATGATTTCAACCGCGGAGGTCCGGACCGGTGCCAGCTGGACGCGGGACCCGCCGGATTGGGGGGAACCGTGCCGCCACTGCACGAGGTGCCTTTCGCGGGACGACACGTATGACGTGCTAACAGCGGCAGGGGAACAGCTGCGGCGGAGAGCGACGCGAGACCGCGGTCCCCATCCTTGCGTGCCGGGCCCCGCGTCAACTTCCATCCCACGTGGCTACAGGGGTCGCCTGGCCCCGCTCCTGCCGGCTCGCCACGTGCCCGCGGGACCTCCGCGGGCGGGTGGTCGACGGTTATGGAGCGTAGCTCATCGCTGGCCCCACTTGCCGCAACGACCACTCAGCTTTAACCTGTTCTGCGACACGGTTTCGGCCACGTCGGTGTTGCCATGAGGTCCAGCTTTTCTTCTTCAGTCATGTCGCGGGTATACCGACGGGTACGTCTCAGCGAGGAAGAAGTAATTTATCACAACTGAAAAGCTGAAAAGAACTGGCATCTCCATACGGCCCACAGCAATCAAAAGGACGAGGACCAACCACGTCGGATGGTCAAATCACAAGGCCTCTAATTTAGGTGAGTGATGTATTTACTTTTCTTAATAAAGTCGGGTTAACTAATTACCAACACCTCTCTGCTATTTTGTAATAAATTAATGCATTTAATGAATTATAAAATTCTAGCTGAGGTTGGGGTGTTTCCTAAATAAGAAACGCTCCGTTGTCCGACTTATCTCACGAGTTGTTCAGGAAGATGGTGGGAAGCCCGGCGTCACAACGCTCACCCTCGCTCGCTCGATGTGCACCACGTCGTCGTGCGTGGCTTAACTCGTGGCGTAAACAGACGGCTTTTCCATCTCGGGAACCGTTCGGTTACCTTGTTAAGCACGCCGTCCTCTCCCCCTCTATAAATAAAGCGCCGCTTCCGGCGGCGCATCTCTTCTCTCTTCTCCTCGCCTCTCTCTCTCTCTCCTCTCTCGGCTGCGATTCGTTTAGGGTTTGTTCAGTCATTACGAAGAACGCGTCGAATGATCTGCTACTGAATAGAAAGGCTCATTTTCCCGGTTATCTGTCCTTCATCAGGTGATTCGTATTGTTGCTCTTCGTCGATCCTTCAACGTTTTGTTTATTGATGGATCTGTTGGGATGTGTCGGACGTGATAGATTTGGATCTGAGACATGCTTTGATTCTTTTGCTGTGATGTTTCCTTCTTCTATTTTTCATTCAAGTGTTGTAATGTGTAGTAGCTATATTCTATGGGGTAAAAATTTCCCATCTTCGAGTTATTCCTTCCCTTGTTCGCGTGGAATCGATCGCTTGTTTTGTGGTCCGTAAGTCGTCGTATGTCATCTACACGCGTTTTGCGGATCGGGAGGAGGCGCATAGAGATTATTTCGTTTGTTTTCTCGAGTCGGACATTTTGGGGATCGAGTGTTCTCTTTGTGCATGAGGTTCATGGCGTCGGACTCATTCGTGGCAGTTAGCATGTCATGTGTTCCGGTTTATTTTCATTTTCTTCGCTGCCCGTTGTTTCAAGGTATCCTTGGGGTTGAACATTTAGAAAGTAACAAAAGGTGGAGATCCCACAGTCTCCACTTTGGCCCGGCTGCCTCCTTTATGTAACCTGACCTTCAAATAAATGAAAAGATGTAGCCTTTTCCGCTGTAACTTCATAGGTTCCGTGATTGGATGATCTGCTTTATGGCATCTTCTTGAAGGGAAAATAAATCAATGGTGTATATAGATCCTATTGAGTTACACCAAAGGTCGATGGTCTACTGTGTTGGACGCTGTATAGGAACTTAGATAGCTTCAAACACATTTCATCTTCCTTTTACTTTTTGTACTATAAGACTGTGCCTTTTTCTTCTGCACGGCATAAGTGTAAGAAATGTTGCATCCAGTGTGAAGAATGATGTTTAATCACATGAAGTTATAGATACTTTTCTGACGGTGTTGTAAAAGAAGGAATGTGACTTGTCCCGTCACAATCTCGTGGCTATCTTACCATGTTTCTCTAGAGGTCTCAGTAGATCGGAAATGAAAACAAAGAATGAGGTGGTACATAACTTAGCAACTAAGATGCTGTCAGTTGCTGTTGGTTGTCATTTGGCATCACGTCGTAGCATAGTGGCACTTTGGTTTGTCAACTATGGTTGATTAATGGTACAATCTAGGTAGGTCTGCAGCTTGTCATACAGTGCTCGGGACTGTTTGGCCGGAACCAATGAATTCCCTCAGCGGTACATTCTTGTCTTGTTTGCTGTACTCTGGTCTTCAGTCTCATTCTATTAAATATGTTTGGATCTTTCTTCATGTAAATTCTGCATCAGTTGTAAATTCTGCATAGAATGGCGGTTGCTATCCTCTGTCTTCTAGAAACCTAACTAGTTCAAATGGTCTGATTTAATATAGTGCCTTCTTGTCGTCGTTGTGGAATCTAACAGTTGTGGCAACGCATTTATGTCTATATGTTGCTGTAAATTTGGCTGGCCTAAATTTGTGATCTAATAAGGAGGCACCTTTATGCAATTCATGTATTGGGATTATGTTTCAGAATTTGTTTAATGCAAATGTCCATTACTTCAACGTGGTTTCTTGAAACATGGATATTATGCTACATATTAAGACAATTATAGGTGCTGAGTTTGTAATATCATTATTTTTCAATTACATTGCTAGTATCTAGTCCAAATTTATAGATGATTGGAGGACGTATTGGTAGCTTTTATTTTTCGATGAATCGAGGACCAAAAGAATATCTATGTTACTGATGACACATTTGGATATTGTATGTTAATATCATTGGTAGGTTCTAGTTCCTTCTCAGAACGGGTAATCTCTTTTACAATGGTGTTGGCTGCTTGTTTATGAAAAGTTAACGAAACCTATCAATTTTATTTTCAACATTCTTTTATACACTGTTCATTCTTTTTTCCTCTTATTTTATTGAGTGAAACCACTTGTTCTAATTTTCTGTCATATTGAGTGTCTTAGTGGTGATACTATTCCTAGTGATGTTTCCGTTTCAAGGTTTTTAGCCAGAAATATCTGAAGCTGCTTACCTCAGCAACAATATCATTTTTAATTCAGCTAAAATTTTCCAATTTGTGCAGTTTCCTGGTCCTTTTTATCCTCACACGATCTCATGAGTGGTTGCCTTATATAAATGATTCTTAATTCTGGCAATGACAAGGTACACTGATTTGGTTTTTTCCTTGGAAAAATATACTTTTTTTCACTCTAATTGGCGATCAGTTTTTCAGAGGAATCTGCTTGATGGACTGCAAGCACAATTGCAGTGACAAAAAGGCAATGAAAAGGTGGTTTTTTATTGATAAAATGGTCGGTTGAATGCATAAAAACACAAAGTAAAAGGAAAAGGAAAACTGAATGCTGAGTTAATCACGTACCAGCGTTGTTAGATTATAGAGTTATTAATCTAGATCCAATGGATTTGAAGAAGAATGGTTCATCCCCTGTTCTTACTGATCCTGCACCCCTTAATAGTTCGAGATTGGGCTTGCCTTCAAATATAAAACCATATTCATCAGCAGCACAGGCATATTCGTCTGGCTTGTACTCAACAAAACCCAGAAGAAAAGCGATACTGGGTAAGCTTGATGATGTCCGTGCCAACGGTTGGCTCGATGCCATGAAATCTTCATCACCTCCTCGCAGGCAGCCGAACAAGGACTACATCTCTGAGCCTGCAATTGATGAAAATGACATGGCATATCATAAATGGCTGGTAAGTTTCATGTTAATAAGATGACAAAAGTGGCATACTATTACGATGTTCACTCTATTTCAGATGAGCTATCCATCGGCATTAACATCATTCGAACAAATTATAAGCTCTGCTAAATGCAAGAAGATAGCTTTATTTTTGGATTACGACGGAACACTTTCACCTATTGTGGACAACCCTGACCTTGCTATTATGTCCAATGCGGTAAATTAGTTATTTTATTAGAGATTTTGATGAATATCTTGTTCTAGGAACATCTAATTATATTGAACATTATTGTCTTCTCTGCTACTTTTTATTTTTTGGCATGAGCAGCATTTTGATTGATTTACTTTGTTTCAGATGCGTTCTGCTGTCAAACATGCTTCTGAGTGCTTCCCAACTGCAATCATAAGTGGCAGGTCCCGTGAGAAGGTAATATATCTTTCTTAGGATCATACTGAACATAGATTTTTTAATTCTGAGATTAATAATATGCACATAATAGAAGTTTACGCTTTCAACTCTTGTTTATGACCTGCTAATTATCACCCTGTGCCATATATTTCTCATTTTGTTCAGGTGTACAAATTTGTGAAGCTAACAGGACTGTGTTATTCTGGTAGTCATGGAATGGATATTATGTGCCCAGTCACAAAGTTTGATTCCACCGGCGGCCATCCAAATTGCATTATGACAACTGATGAGCAGGTGAGAGGACACTATCGTCCAAGGCATCCCATTGTCAAGTCATTTCTTGTAATCTAATTTTGCATGTCATTGCTTATCATCTAGCAATCACGCTTCATTTTACCACACCGTAACGTAAACTGACCACCTGAAAAAGGGCTTACCAGTGGATAAGGCACTTTTTTTCCCTGATCAATTAAACTATTTCTGAATTATTATAGCTAAAATTGTATCATTTGCTTGTTTACTGATTCAACCTACACATATCAGGGAAAGGAGGTCCATCTCTTCCAGCCTGCTAGCGAGTTTCTACCTATGATCAATGAGGTATGGCATCGATATCGTCTGTTACTTCGAGTCGTTCCTATTAAATGACAATTGAAGCTGATGATGACAGATTTTTAGCTCCCTCGTTGACATAACCAAGGACATTGTTGGTGCCAGAGTAGAGTCTAACAAATTCTGTGTCTCTGTACATTATCGTCTCGTAAATAAGGAAGTAAATAACTAAATCATCATAGTTATGCTGCGTCAGGAGACCTCTTATCAGCAGCCTAACAAAATATTGGTCCTTATAATTCCAGGTTTGGCCTGAGGTTGCTCAGCGTGTGGTCAACCTTCTCGAGGACTACCCTCGTTTGCGAGTGACACATGGGCGTAAGGTGATTATGATTCATGAAACCATGAGCTTGTAGATAGATGTAGGTACTAGCAATCTGTTGAAGAATGACAATCGTTTATGGTGTAGGTCTTAGAGATCCGTCCTGTGATTGATTGGAACAAGGGGAAAGCTGTGGAGTTCCTTCTTGAATCCCTTGGTCTAAGCAATCGCGAGGATGTGCTCTCGATCTATGTGGGAGATGATCGAACCGATGAGGATGCATTTGAGGTATATATATGAAATAATTTTACAAACAAAATTAGACAAATTGATGGAGTCGAAATATGATATCCAATCATTTTTTGTTTCTTAATTTTCAATACCAGGTTCTTAGGGAGAGTAATCGTGGGTACGGTATCCTTGTGTCATCTATACCGAAAGAAACCAATGCATTCTATTCTCTAAGAGACACTTCTGAGGTCAAATTTATTACTCGATATCAGTAACTATATTCACAAATTCCAATGACATGCTCTGTATTGTTTTACAGGTAATGAAATTCTTGAAGTCTCTGGTGAGATGGAAGAAGTTGGATGGTGATGCATAAATATACAGCCTCACCTTCTTAAATATGATATATGTATATGTATATGTGATATATTTATTATATGATAGTTTAGGAGCATGAAGGTCATCATCGCATATGATATCTAGCAGTTATTATGTGCTAGATTCATGATTTATCTGAAGGCTCTTTCATTTATAGTAAACCGTGACTTCTTTTTCTTATATCTATAAGTTAGAGATGCTATTATTTTTTCTATTACAACTATATTATTCTTTAATTCACTAGTATAGTTTCAATCTATAAAAGACCAAACCCCCCTTCAAGATTTCAGTGGATTTATTTGGACCTTGTGGGAAAAGTTGTGCTCTTGCCACACGCACAATCGAAACTAATTAGACTATATAATTAAATTATATATTTTTTTTATTAAATTTGTAATCTGACCCGTTGACCTAACTATGACCCCATGACCATTGATGGTTTCGAAACAAATTATTATGAGTAGGACACAAATCAGTGAAAAATGACTTATATTTAACTCCAAATTTTGTATTTATGTATATATACTATGATGAAATACCAATTAAACTTCTAAGAATAGTTTGGAAGATCCTTGCAGCAAGATGAAGTATCAATTGTGGATGAAAAATAATTTTGAATCCATTGTTTAGGGACTAACGCTTGCAACTTAACCTCGAAAACCACGAGCAAAAGTTGTATCACAGAAGTTGCCTCATGGGGTTGTTTCTTGTCAAATTTTTAATAATTCAGATCAAGCATTTAAAAGTTATTACACGAGTAATTTCATGAGCCTATTTGTCATCAAATTCCTAACAAATCATATCAAGCAAGCAATTGGTTTATGAGTGGCTATCAGACCCAATCCAATTACAATTTTTTTTCCAATAAATGTTTACAATTTAAAACATTAATTAGATGATAATATATTAGTCTTTTTATTAATATTAAAAGGTTAAAATCTCATTATATGAATTTTGATATTTAAAATATTATTTAATGATTATAAATCAAATTTACTTACTAAATATTAGAATTTGAAATCTTATTCAATAAAATTTATAATTAAAATAATAATTTGGTGATGACATATTAGATCCCATTACTAAAAATTAAAGGTTCAAAACTTTATCCAAAAAATCATATATACAAAATATCATTAAGATAATGGTGTTACATAATCATTTATCAAAGTTTCACAGTTTATTTTTATTTATATTTTTTTTGCTATCAAAACTCATAACCTCGTTAATGTGATAGTATTTTACCAAACCTATGTATTGAGGGCTTCGATTTGTTAAGACCTATTAGGCTGCCATTGCATCTTCTATTATGGTTAGTTAACTACTGATTGCTTATCCGTAATATCATCTCTCTCATCCTTATGAATTATGTTATGTAGAATTATAAACGATATATTAAAAGGGATCGTAAAGAAATTCGTATGTAAGGTGATTTCGATTCATAATATCAATCTATTTATATTGATTAAAACTCATAATCTGATAAAATTTTTAAGAAAGATGGGGAGAAACTATGAAAACACATTTGAAGTAGCATTAGGTAAATCAGGGGAATCCTAATGACAAGGAAGCGGTACACAATCCGTGTGGCTTTGATTTATAAGTTTCTTTAGATTTTAAATTTACTTGTAAAACATGAAGATAAGCACTCTTGGTTCTTATATGTAATTTATGCAATCAATATTCTAAAATCTAAATGTAAGCTCAAGCATCTTCTCTTATCATTAGATTTCTCATCTGTTCCTTGGATTCTTTATGAAAATATGAACGTCGTGTCTTTTATTGATGATAAGAAGGATGGTTGTCCCTTCTCTCTCATTTTGTTTTAGATTTTTAGGATTTTATTTTTAACTATGGCTTTATTAATCTTGATTTCTTCCACAATTGTTTTGCTTAGTATAATATGTGTCATGGTAAATATTTGATTCTTACTAGATTGGATAAGATCTATGAGTGATTACTGGTTTGATGTTTATAAAAAATACTATGGTTAAACACCTTCCAGAATTGCTTCTGACCATTCCGCAGTTCTCTTTTGTTTGAGTCATTCTCAAAAGATATCCAAAGGAGAAGCTCCTTTAAGTTTGAGCAATATTGGCTGAATAACCCCTTCGTTTGAAGGTTGATTTCTCATGAATTAACCATAGGTATTCAAGAAGTTAACCCTAATAATTCTTTTAACCAAACCCTTTTGACCATATTCCATAACCTTAAGGAGTGGAAGGCCTTTAGTGACTCCTCCCTTAGAATCCTAAATCAAGGATATTTTTATGAAAATTTTTTAAATTGAGGAGAAGGAAGATAGGGATAATAATTTTATTTAGGATATTTTCAATCTTTATTGTCTAACATAATAAATTGATTGCTCTTAATCTTTAACTGAATTTAAAATGATGGGTTAGAACCAAGATTAATTGGATTAAGGAGGGTAATAAGAGGGTAACCAAAATGATGGCTAACTTTAGATATAGAAAGAACTCTATTAAACTTATTTAGGTTAGATGTGAGCAATGAAAAGTCTTCTCCTCAACTATTTATAAATTGGTATATTAATCTTTAAAATCTGAATACCCAATCTAGTGTTCTTTAGCCTGGTAGTCTTGTCATTTCAACTTTACCTTATTCTACTCTTAATTTTTTTTGCTATAAATTCTCATCTCATGAAATTGCCCTTACTCTTAGTTAGATGAGAAAAGGCAAAAATCTGGATCTGGATAGGTTTAACATAGAGTTTTATCAATCCTTCTAGGAGGAGATAAAAGGGTTGGTGCTGAGAGTTTTTGAAGATTTCTATTATAGTTTCGTTCTTCACTTAGAATAGAATAAAATCTTTCTAGTCTTCGTTTTTTAAAAATACAATATCTCCCGGATCAATGAGTATAGATCGATGTAACATAAGTTATAAATTCCTCACCAAAATTCTTGTAAATAGAATCAAAATGTTTCTTAATGATCTAGTTAGTTAGAAATAATTTTTCTTTATTGGGGGAGGAACATTTATGACAATATTGTTATTATTAATGAGTTAGGTACGAGGAAATCCAAAGTTATATCCAAAATGAACTTCCTAACAAAATTCAGGATATGGGCTTTATTTGTTCTCTTGGTTACGCTTGCATGATAAATGATATTCAATTTGCTTGGTTCACTAACAAGAGGGGTATTAGGCAAAAGGACCCTATCTAGCCTTATCCCTTTGTTCTTGTGTAACAAGTCTTATCTAGTCTAATCACTCATGCAATCGATTATAAGCATGTTTCTCCATTTAACTTGAATGATGTTCACATCTCACATTTCCTCTTTGTGGATGACTTGATTAGCTTTTAGGGCCAATCAATGGTCCATTAATTCTATTAAAACCATCTTGGGGGAAAGGGGGGGGGGGGGGGGGGGGTTGGGGGTGAGGGGTGTGAATTAGAAATATTGAAAGTGTGTTTGGTGCAATAAGCAATTAAAATAATATTAATGACAATGAAAAGTAGAACAAAAATGCAAACCGAATTTTAGAGTGGTTCAGTCGTCACGACATATGCCACTCTAGATTCCTTTTTCATCGAGGCTACTTACGTTCACTAATGATCTTCTTTCAATAGATAAAGATCAACTATTCTCTTACAACTCTTTCTCCTTTTCATAGGTTTAGGAGATAACATTTACAAACCTCGTACATCTTTTAACCTAAGCCCAAAACTTCAAGAGGAGGAGGATATTTAGCACTTTTTCAACTCAGAATAATAGTCTTTTTCTACTCTTTTTTTCTTACTTTCCTAAGCAAGAAAGAGTAGGGTATTTATAGGCCCCAAATGGATTCAAATTTGGAGCCAAAATAGTCTCATCCCGGGTTTTCGGGATACTGGCGGTACCACTACCAGTACTAGGCAGTATCATCGCTTGACAACTGGCGGTACCACCACCTATTAGTTTGACATTGGGTGGTACCACCGCCCATACACTACCTGGGAGGTCGAGCCTTAATCAGTTCCATTGCCAGCACTAACGGTGCCGCCGCCTAGCCTAGCTCCAAGTCACTGAATAGGCCAACCAGCAAATGGAATTTAGACCTTATTCAGGGCCAATTGACTCCTATTTAAATTAGTAGGATTACTCTCAAAACTAACTCAATTAGATCTAAACTAACTCGATTTAAACACAATCGATTACAAGCATGAATTCTATATTGTCCGATATGTCATTGGTTCATTCGACGCTTTATTCGATCCTTTGAACCTCCCGTAACTTTCGATCCTTGGCACAATGTCCAATTCTTCGGCCCGATGCCCCAACTAATGGCACGAAGTCCTTCCGGCACATCAACCATTCATTCAACCTGACGTCCAATCTTATGACATGTTCTACTCTGGCCCAACGTTTGATTCTTTTTGCTTTTAATCGAATTGTCTTTCCTTGATCAAGATTAGTCTTGCATCACTCAAATACACATTAGATTATAACTTCATCAATTGATTTAATAATCAAAATTTGAGATTCCATAATCTCCCCTTTTTTTATGATGATAATCAATTGATGATGAAGTTTCACTAAACTCTCCCTATCTATATGCCATAATTTCAATTATGAATCATATGCAATACATCATATCAACATAATCATTACTTATATCATAAGTTGAAGTATTGCATGTATAATTCTAAATCATCATACATAATTTTAAAATATAAAAGTACATCATACCATGCATGATTCAAATTTTAAACCATCATTATAACTTCTCCCCCATTATCATCAACAAAAAGGAAAAGTGCAACTAGTAAATTTTTGAAACATACAAATTAGCAATTCTTGCTTATCTTTTGAGATATGTAAGCTAACATGCTTTTTTATTTTCTCTTAAACTAGCAATCTTTGTTTTTCTTTGTAACGTACAAGTTAGCAAATTTTTACTTCATTTGTAATATGCAAGTTAGTAAATTTTCTCTCCTTGAAATGTACAAGCTAGCATTTTTGTTTTTCTTTGCGATATACAAACTAGCAAGACTTTCACCCCTTTGTCATGGTAAAAAAAGAAGGGAATAATACAATGTTGTAATTCTTTTTCCTTTACCTCAATATTCAAACCATCACATGAAAGATATCAAGAAAAATTAATTTGTGATAAGAAATATAATTCATGAATACAAGGGAGTCTTATGAAATAAATCTCAAGTTATGAATATAAAAACAAAAAAAACATAA